ACCTTGAACCTGCCAGTGTGCATCTTGAGCCACCCCTGAAATGTTCTCAAGCATCTTTACAATGGGCAAGGAGCATTTCCAGTGACTCAGGAAGCAGCAGTCAAGTCCCGTGATACAAAGTCATCGCTTGTCTGTTCTCTGTCTATACCTGGTCATAGCAGTAGAGGTTAACTTTTTACTACATTTTCCACAATGTTCTTTTTCATGTGGTGGGGTGGTGTGGATTCTATGCATTTGGGTTCCTCCACAGTTTACATGAAGAGGTCAGAGGAAAATCTTAAGTTTAGGTTCTCCCCTTTTGTCATTTTTGAAACAGGTTCTCAGTTTTGTACCTGTCTAAGCCAGGTTAAGCCTATGACCTGGGGGATTTCCTGTACCCACACCCCAACTCAATATAGGGAGGCAGAAATTATAGATGTATACCTCTGATCCCAGTGGCTTTATGTAGCTCTGGACATCAGAACTCAGGACCTAATGCCTACATGAGAAGTGCTATGTCTACATGGTAAGTGCCTTACCCACTGCAATCTTACCGGTCCAGTTTGCTATGAAAAGAATTTGACTTATAAGAACTGATCATCCATTTACTCCTTTGCCCTCTTTTAAGTCCCCACATAGTTGACAATTACAGAGACAGAAGTTTAGTAGACAGACCCAATAAAGTTATCGAGATATGCAGAGTGGAGAAAACTACTCAGTTATGCCCTCCGGTCCATGCCTATCTCCTTGCTTCATTAATCTCCTGACAGTTACTCCCAGGTCATTAAGAAAACCTCCAGAAAAAGAAGTGTCAGCATATTTCTCGTGGAACCCTCAGAAAGGCAGGATGCCCTTATTCCTAGAACAGACCTCCAAGGTGACAGGAGGTGAGGGGAGTGTACTAATTAGGTGTCAACAAATGGGTGAAGGGGAAAGAAAGCAAGGAGACACCGGGTGACAGCTCTTGTAAGGAACAGAGGAGGGTTATTTCTCTAATTGTTACATGACACAGTTCAAACTGTGAGTTATAGACATAAAAAAACCTGTTTTACATTTTGTTAATTGAGCTACCAGTTATGTATTTTCAGTTCTAAGATCCTTTGTCTTGCTGGGATAAAGCACCACAGCCAATAGCAACTTGGGGGAAGACGGGGCTTATACTTCCAGGTCACCGCCCATCACTGAGGGGATTCAGGGTAAGAACTTAACGCAAATACCACAGAGGGGCACTGCTTACTACTTTGCCCATTGGCTCATGCTAGCTGTCTTACACAGCACCATCTCTGTAGGGATGCTACAGTCCACATGGGCTGCGCTGCTGTCCTCATCAGTTAGCAATAAAGAAAACCCTCCACAAACCTGTCCACAGAGCAATCTGAGCTAGGGTTTCTTCTTAGATGTCAAGGGTACAATTAAAACTGCAAATGTAGGTGCTAGAAGTTGAGTCCCCAGGTCTGCAAATGCTAGGCAAGCATCCTAACACCAGCACAAAGCCTGAGCTCATCATTTTGAAGTTGAATACTCAGCACCCATTTTGGGCGTTGTTTGTTTCTCCCACAACTTAGTGCTACTAACATTAATTAAATTGTTCCAAATTATGCATCACCCGCTCCGCTTAAATTTATTTTTCTTAACCTCCCCTCTTTGGAACAAAAACATATTTGAACATCATTCATTTAAGCTAGAGAACATGCTAATGCTCTCAAATGTTATCTTGACTTCTGCCAGGATGGGAGGTTCTGGTTGTTCTTTGTTGGATTTAGAAACAAAATACTAAATGGGCGACATTCCTAGGTGTTTGCAATTTCCCAATTATTTGCATGCACTGTAAAAATAAATGGGTTATGGATATTTAATTATGAAGGGTTGTTTTTTAAAAAAATACTAAAGAAACAAAATAAAACAACTAACAATATATTTTCCAAGACCAGTGTAAATAGCTCATATATTATAAAGTCTACCCAAAGGCAGTGCTATGTAAATTTAATTTGTAGGCCCTGGATGCCTCCCATGTTAGCTGCTAAAAAGCACTATACTTGTATATTCAAGCATCCAGAGGCATTGCTCACCTTGAAAATGTAATATTATGAAGACACTGCCATTAGTGATTTTATGTTCTTCTGCAAACCCTTCCTGAATTTGAAATAATGAACAAGTTCAGGTAATAACTTTTCTTCTCTTTCAAATTTTATGACTAAAATATTGAGTTGTGTTTTATAGCTTTCATTTATTATATTCTGCAGAATCAGTTGTCTGCTTTAGGCAAAGAAAACCCAAAGAAACTGAAATGAAACTGATGCTAAGAAATCAGAGGTTTAAATGAGGGATCCTGAATTCAGGAAGCACACGATTTTCCAAAGGTTGGAAACACAACTAGATATCATGTGCTGTGTAAGTTGTGAGCAGTCTTTCCATGCCTCTCTATGTACAATTCCTGTGTGTGTGTGTGTGTGTGTGTGTGTGTGTGTGTGTGTGTGTATGCGCGCGCACGCCCGGGGTAATCTCATATTCAAGTGTAAGCTAAGATTATTGCTGAAAAATTCATTTCCTTTAGATAAGTGTACACAGACTTTTCCCACAGCTTATGGACAAATTAATTCTGAGGAATTCTAAAGGACTCCTACTAATTACTCTCAGTTTCTGTGAGTAAAAGAGGAACAAGGAACCTTAAACAGTGGTAGATTCCATAAGACTGGTGACTATGAGAGTTACACCCTCACCATGGAACAAAACCAAGCTTCTTTAGTCCTCTTTCTTTTTAAATTGGGCATTCTTTCCTTTTTTTTTTTTTTTCTTCTGTTACTGGGGATTGAACTCAGTGTCTACAACAGGCTAGGTAAGTGTCCTAACACTAAGTTCCCATCCTTTTGCCCTTTTCTCACTTCTGATTTGAAACAAAGTCTTTCTAAATTGCTTGGGCTGCCCTTGGAATCCTACTGCCTTGATCTCCCCAGCAGTTGGAATTACAGGCTTGCACCTCCAGGCCTGGCATAGGCTCACATTTTAATATAATTCTCTTCTTGACTATATGCTTAAATGGAATGACATTTTGGTTTCTATAGAAAGAAATGGGAAAAAAGAGATAAGATTCTGACAGATTCTCCTATTATAAGCAAGTACTGTTATATATATATATATATATATATATATATATATATATATATATATATAAGACCTAGAGGGTCCTAGAACTATTTATGGTCATCTTGGTCAAATTTGGTTTCTTTGTTTCCAACATGTAAATCAAATGTCCTGGATAAGTATCAGTGTAAGAGCAGTTTGAACAATGCAATGTGGTTTTTTATTAGCTAAGTGCACATACCAACCCTGCTTATTTTTCATGGTGAGATAAATGCCCTAGTCTGCCTGTGTGGCTCTTGTTAACCTATGATTTCAGAGTTGACCTAAAAACATTCAGGACAGGAACTGACTTTAAAACGAATCTGGCTTAAGTAGATCTTCCTTCATCTTAAGCATTCGCTCCCCATAATTGATGGTGATGACTAAAACCAACCCAGTCAGAATACCACAAAAATTATGTAGAATATAATAAGTGCAGCTGCGCTACCGATACTTTTCAGAAATAATGCATTTCCCTTAGAATTCGGGTCAAGAGGAGAAACAAAATTAGCATTTATGCATAACCTCAATTCTACACCCCCTCTCATTACATGGAAGAGACAAATGCCCCATGGATTTCTTTGAAGTGGTTTGGAGTTATTATGCTTGTCTAACTGTTTTTAGCAAGGGTTTTTTGTTGGCCTTGAAAATGTAATTTTAAAATGTAACTGATGTCTTTCTGCCATCATTACAAGAAACACACATCGCAAAAATGAATGCGTACTCATTTCAGCCTGTAAGATTTGTTTTTAAATTATCACACTTGAAGCCAGAGCAAGCATATGAGATCATTTCTTCCCCTCTGCCAACAAAGTGATTTCCCCACCCCACGTGGACAGTGAAGTGAGCATGAGCGTCAGGGTTCCAGCTTGCTTCCTACTGTCTGTGAACACAGGCTCCTGTCCATGATGGGGAGAAGACTGGGTAGGCAGCCCTTGAGAGTTTGTGCCTACTGCGCAAAGAACACAGTGTCGGTGACTTGAGCTGAGTCTGAAGGATAAGAAGTGAGCGAGACTTAGCAGAGTGCATGCACGGCTGATTGCGGTCCTCGGCGTGTGTGCGCCCTAGACTCTTTCTCCACGTGCACTCTCAGTGCCAGGACACACAGGCACACACATGTGCAATGATCATCCCCAAGCCTCAGGCCAGGACAAGTCCCCAGAACTCCCAGGCCGGCTCCTCCGCCCATCCCCACCCACCAGGGCTCCACGTGGGCGCACCCAGGCGCCAGGCAGCCGCGCGGCCCACGGAGCCCGGGGCCTGCCCTGAGCCGAGAGGGAAGGCGCGGCCCGGGGCGGGACAGACAAAGCTGGCGTCCAATGGAACCCAGCAGTGGCTCCCCGAAAGGAGGGAGCGGCGGCTCGCGCGGGCCCAATGAGCTGGGAGCCCGAGTGGGACTTCCTCCCGGAATCCCGTTGGCCATGATAGCGGGGCCGTGGGTGACACGTAAGTTGGGTGGGAGGTGGCGGACGGCTGGAACTGCCAGATCAGTGTCACCGGCCCACCGACACCCCCAACCCGGTCCCAGCAACCTGTCCCCATCTCGCCACCATCCGGGGTGGACCGTGCGCGGAGACGCGGCTGGGAGCCAGGTCCCTTTGTTGGGCGCCCGTCCCCTATCAGTGGTAGCGACAAAGTCCAGCAGGCAGAGCCGGCGCGAGGGGCGGGGACAGCCGGTGGGGACAGCGAGGCCAAAAAGTGAGGAGGAAGGAAAACCGGGCGGGCGGCGGCGCGTGGGGACCGGCAGCCGGGGCAGCAGGCTGTGGAGTATGCGAAGGGACCCCACGCGGGCCCAGCCACACCGGGAGATCCGACGTCGCACAAGTTTAGTGGCCTCTGCCCGGGTGGCGTCGATGGCCTGGCGCCCCGCCGCGCGCGGGGGGCTGAGCGGCCGCCTCTTCCCCTCCGGCCCCGCTTTTGTGTCTGTCGCCTTCTGCTCATGCCGCGTCCGGCCGCTTCCCGCGGTGGCCGCTGCTGAGCCGCCCGACTCAGCCGAGCACCGAGGACACGACGGCGCCCGCCGCCGCCGCAGCGCGGGGCGCACGAGGGACTATGGGAAACGGGATGTGTTCCCGAAAGCAGAAGCGGATCTTCCAGACCCTGCTGCTGCTCACGGTGGTCTTCGGCTTCCTGTACGGCGCGATGCTCTACTTGGAACTGCAGACCCAGCTGCGCAAAGCCGAGGCGGTGGCGCTCAAGTACCAGCAGCATCAGGACTCGCTCTCTGCCCAGTTGCAAGGTACAGTTAAGGGGGCGACGCGCGAGGCCAACTTCGCTCCGCGCTGGGGCTGGGGCTGGGAAAGTAGCTTTGGTGTGCATGTTGGCTTTGCAGGTACCACCCATTGACCTTTTTTTTTTGGACAGCAGCCCGGACTGCTGGCCTCAGTGTGTGCGGAGAGGTAACATCTCGGTTTTCCTTTTTCCTCCCAGGAGTTGTGTTTGAAATCCACAGCACCAGCCCATTGGCCCTACCTGGCTTTGGGGGAAGAAGGGGTGGTAGTGGTGTATCCAACATGGGGTATTTTACAAGAAGCACTTGTCAAAGGCCCAGCTGCAATCTAGGCAAACAGCCCTCCTGACACATCTGCCAATACTTTCCCAAGAGGCATGCCCTGGTTTGTAGATTTGGAGAGTTAAGCAGACATTTCCTAATTGGTTCTCCTTTTCAAGGGAAAAAAATTAGGCTATACACTAGTGGCCCGTGAAAGGAACCGTCTAGCTTGTATTGTTATTATTATCCTGGTTTAATAGGGAACTGAGATGTTGGGTATGATGGAAAAGGCCACTACTACTTGACTACAGATGATTGTTTTTTAACAGGCTTGTCGTCCTGAGGAGGCCTTTAACTGACCACAGAGCTTTGTGCGAGCATATTCATGCTTGCACAGGCATGTTTTAGAGTTAGCTTTGGGAAATCAAAACGTAAAATTTCACTTTGCCAAAGGCAGAACTCGTGCAAGAGGTTCGAAGCTTGTGTCCTTCTATGCTAACACAATCACATTGACTGTGAATTTCTAAAGTCCAAATGATTCACGAGTGAGCGCATGTAAACACTTTGGGGTTCTGTTAAAGACATACATGCATGCATACATACATACATACATACATACATACATATGCTTTTAACTGCCCTCATGGTTTGTTTTCAACTCATGCAGCTCTCTCTAGCACAGAAGAAGTGAGAAATAAAAAGCCCTAGCTAAATAGTCATATGATGAGTGTCCTTGTTGATAATGCAAATACGGCTTATTGAATCTTCCTGGGTGCATACGAGCTGAAGGGGTATTCCTGACAGTGGATGTCTGTACAAATATAAAACAGATGCTGTTGCATATGGTCCAGCTGTACCGAGCGTTTTCTAGTAAGACTTTTAAGACAGGAGAAAATGATATTCTGCTATTTGTTTGGTCTGATTTGTTCTTCCAAACTTAGAAGAAAAGAGAGTATTTTTAGCTTCTTCAGGCTGCCCTGCCCCAGGCAATGAAAATATGTGGCTGGGCTTCTTTCAAAAGGAAAGCCTGTTTTGATAGTCTCTTAGATTACAAAAATATAGGTATGGGAATTTACCCGTGAGTTGTAGATGTGAGAAGAGCGAATACTTGACTTATTTACTTACAAAGTATCATGAGCTTCCATGTGGGTATACATGTATAGGCCTGCCATTTGCACAAACGTGAGGGCCAGAGGTTGATAACAGGAAGTCTTCCTCAATCCAGTGTCTCTACTTTATTTTTCTGACACATGGTCCCTAACTGAATCCTCAATACCCGTTTTGGATAGATTGACTAGCCAGCTAACACCTGGTGTGTGTGTGTGTGTGTGTGTGTGTGTGTGTGTGTGTGTGTGTGTCTGTGTCTGTGTGTGTGTCTGTGTCTCTGTGTCTCTGTGTCTCTGTGTCTGTGTACACCCATGCACATGCATGCACCACCATATATATGTATGTTCTTGTGTGGAGGCCAGAGGTCGATGTCCAATGTGTTTGTTTTCCATTCTCCACCTCATTTCTTGAGACAGCCAGACTGTCTGGCCACTGAGTCCCAAGGATCCTTTACTTTTAAGCCCCCACCCCCAGCACCCAGATTGCAAGCATTTGCCGCCATACCTGGGTTTTTTAAGTGGGTCATAGGGACCTCACTGAGGCCCTCAGATTGCACAGGAAGCAACTGAGCAACTGGCTGGGCTGTGCACCCAGCTCCTGACATCTCTTAGATGATGCTTTTTGCCATTTCCTTTAGGCTGGCAGTGCAACAGTCGCAATGATTGTGCATGAAGAAACGAGTTCACCAGCTGGCTAAAGTTTCTCCTTTTTTCAGAAGAGGAGTCAGACTCGACTTTAGCAACATCCATTTTCAGGTCTGCAGGCTGTGTAGTAATGAGCACTTTCTGATCACTTTCTGGTGGCATGCAGCTTTTGTTTTCCTTCCCCAGGACAAGTGACATTTTATCTAGTGCTGTTACATACTACCTCAATACACAAATCTTCAGGGCATCTAGCTCCATTCTTGTTTGCTTTCTTTCCTTATTTTTTGATGTATGTGTCCACATGCCGGTGTGCGTGCCTCTGGAGGCCACAGATTGACGCCCAGTGTCTTGTCTCATCTGCTCTCCACCTTTGCCTTTTGAGATGGGGTCTTTCCCTGATCCCAATTATTACTGACTCCGCTAGGCTGGCTTTAGAGAGGTGCTTGTCTCTTCTCCACAATCACTGGGTTACAAAGCCAAATGCAGGTCTCCAGGCTGAAAGGGGGCTTTACTGACTGAGCCATCTCCTGAGGCCCTCCCTCCCTCCCTCCCTCCCTCTTTCCCTCCCTCTCTCCCTCCTTCCTACTTTGTTTCTTAAGACTTGCTTAGTTAAGTGAGATCCCTTTATTTGGCTCACATAAAGGTCAGGGTTAATTTTGAGTGGTCTTCTTTGAAAACATGACTCTTGAAAAAGTCGAACAGTTTCTTTATCAAATGGTATGCATTTGTTAAGTGAACACACTTGGGTTGTCTTCATCTGAAGAACAGGGAATACTCCAGGATTCTTTGAACAGAAGTTTCTCTTCTGTGTAATAATACTCCTATAATTGGAACTGGAGGATGACATAGAAAGGCTCAGAGACCAACCAGATGACGGTCTCCACAAAAGGTCATGAGAATATGTTCTGCATTTATGTATCTATTAAGTGTCTATCATCAATCAATCTATCTCATCTATCATCTATCTATCTATCTGTATCTTCTGTCTGTCTGTCTGTCTCTCCATTTGTCCCTATCTATCTATCTATCTATCTATCTATCTATCTATCTATCTATCTATCTATCTGTATCTTCTATCTCTCCTGTCTGTCCATTTGTCCCTATCTATCTATCTGTCTATCTATCTATCTTCTATCATCTATCTATTTATCTATCTGTACCTTCTATCTGTCCTGTCTGTCCATCTATCTGTCTGTCTGTCTATCTATCTATCTATCTATCTATCTATCTATCTATCTATCTATCTGTATCTTCTATCTGTCCTGTCTGTCCATTTGTCCATATCTATCTATCTGTCTGTCTGTCTGTCTATCTATCTATCTATCTATCTATCTATCTATCTATCTATTTGTCTATCTATCACCTGTGTATCTAGCTCCCATATTAGTACCGGGCATAGGTCACATACTGGGGCAGAGGTCGTAGCAACCTTTGTTCAGTACACTGTTTACTTAACATTTGAAAGTTTCCTCTTGCTGCTTTCAAGCATGTCGCATGCCGCCCTCTTCTGCTCACAGCCTGCCTCTGGCTGCACTGGCCATTTAGAGCTCCTTGCAGGTCCCACATGAATTAAATCACATCTGTGGGGGTGGAACCCAAGCTTCAACCAAAGGTTGTTAAGGCTCCCCAGGTGCTTAAGAGCCCTGGCTCTCTCATCTGAAAGCACAGCCACTTCAAACATCCTCTCGCTTGCTTGTCCCCAAGGGTGTTTTCATCACCTGTCCTGGGCATGTGACTAGAAGCAGGCTGGTTTCTGGACTGTGTTCCAGTTCTAGCTCTGCAACTTTTTTGTGAAGTTGGGCCTCATTTTTTCTTATTTGTTAATGGCGATTAGAATGCCCTCATTTTATCAGGGTTATTGCGAGGACTAACCAACATAATTTCCACGGAACCCTTAGCAAAAGCCTGGAATACAGTAGAACTGTGTGGTCGTCAGGCTCCCCCTTTGAGATAGACAATCTGTTTACTTTTCTCTTCCCAGCTTGGCCCTGGCTCAGTTTGGAGATCGGCTAAGTTCTCTGTGCGGTTATCTACCCTCCTTTGTTTCTAAGCAAGCATCAGAAAAGAAGATAAGCTGATGTAAGCCAGTGCACTTCGCCTTGGAGAAGGATGGCTCTTCCTTGACAACCTAAACACAGAATTAGGGTTTGGTTACTGATTAACACCTCTGTATTATGTCAGATTAGCAGAGGTGTGCAGCTTTGGAGGTAATAACTGTGTGTACTAAGATCGGGAATAAGATGTTACTAACACACATTTAATAATATTAACTCTATTTCTCTGGAACACTGGGCCACAATATGACACTGATGACCAGATACCCCTGAAGAAAATTTACACGATGTTTCACATACTCTAAATTCAGACAAGAAGGTCGTAAAAATTTAAGAAAAGCATTTGAGAGTTTGGTGCTTCTAGGCATCCCAGTTGTTACTCAAGTTTACTTACCCTAGCCTGATAGGAAGTTAGTACATTGTGCTCTGGCCCTTTTCGTTTTCCGTAGCTCCCACACTTGCTCTAAAACAAAAGCTCTTCAGTTCAAGTCAGGCTCTTTACAGTCCTTCTTCTTTCCTCCTGGTGCCCGGCATATGATTGGTACTCAGCTAACAGCAGGTGTATACCAATAGATGTTCTTAATAATGGTGGGTGGAGTAATGTTACTTGATACTTGCTAGTGAGGCAGAGGACATGAACTTGCTATGCTTTTCCCCAGCTGTGTGACCTTGGACAATAAGTTAACCTCTCCATGGCATTGTTTCTTCTCATATAGTTATCAAGATAACTATGTCATAGGCTTCCATGTGGTCTGATACCTAGTGTGCTATGCTGGGTGAGTGGAGCTCGCATTTGAACTACCATTGACGGCTTCTGGGCAACAGAGTTCTTCACAGAACAGACCTTGATAATTCCATCCTTAGGTATGCAAGTGTGGACAGTGTTTGGAAAGTACAATCATCTCTATGTGCATAGTTAAGGCTTGTAACATCAAATAAATAT